GAGAATGCTGAGGACGATAAGCAGGCTTGTTTGTCTCTGTTGGGGACCAAAGGAAGATTCCAGAGAATCTGACAACTATTTGGTCTGGATTCTTCTCCTGCCTCAGCTCATTCTGCCTTTCAACACTTCTAGCACTATTCTTACAAGACTCTGATCACGCTTCTTAAAAAAAAAAATTGTCTTCTTTCTCCTGTTCTTTTTTTTATGTGTTTCTTTATAGATCAAACTTCTTTTTCAGTTTTAATTAACAACAGATGATGAAGAGAAAGCAGAACTCCTTCATTCTTATTCTTTCTTTCATTTTCTCTTTTCTTCCCACTCCTGGCCTTATAAAGTTGGCTTCTTGTGAAAGTAGGGATGGCTGCATGTTCAAGTATAACACACTCTGGTCCTTATTTACCTCTCCCATTTCTTACCTAGTTGGCTTAAAACTTGGTAGATGCAAGGGATGGCCCATTGTTTTCCCTATCACTTTCATCCCAGGGGATGTCACCTGTACTGATCACTGATCACTTATTGAATCTATCATATGGCATCCAGGCCAACACTACACCCTCAAATGCTCTTTACACATAAAATGACTATGGATAGCAAGCAAACAATTATCCAAGTAAGCTGTAAAATTTCCAAACAGAAATGAAAGAAATTACACATATTAGTTTAGACAACAGAATACTCAAGGGTACATGGGCAGTTCAACTTAAGAGTAACATGAAATCTCAGTTCAACTGGGGAAAGAACATTCTTATCCAAGAAGTCCACCCTTCCAGTCTTGGGAGTGGGGAGTGTACAGCAGCTGGACATCAGAGGACACTGGGGCCAGCTTTCCCTACATGCCTGCAGCTCTGGGGAGATGTGCCAGTTGCTGTTCCAAAGTGCAAGTCTTTTCTTTTCCTTTACAGTCTTTTGGCTAAACCAAAAATCCTTCCTATGTGCTGTATGCAGTGCCACAGGTTCAGATGCCTCTCAGTTAATCTAGAGTCATATCTCCCTTCACATGTGCAAGTCTTTGGGAACCCAGGTACGCTTCAGGGTATAGGGTGCTATGCTTAATTTATTTTTTTCATCTTACTGCTGTAGCTAGCAGTGGGTTAACACACATACATTGCCAGAGCTAGCTCAGTGTTTGAGAGGCTCCAAAGGAAAGTGTGGGAGAGATGAGGTATTAGACTGACTACCAAAATGAAGGTCTATACAGCTGTTGCTCTGACCTCATTGTTGTATGCCTGTGAAACCTGGACAGCATACCAGTGCCATGCAAGGCAACTGAATCACTTCCATTTAAATTGTCTTAGGAAGATTCTGAAGATCACCTGGCAGTATAGATAACAGACACTGATGTCCTTTCTTGAACAAAACTGCCAAGCATTCAAACTCTACTTCAGAGAACACAACTCTGATGGGCTGACTATGTTGTTCAAATGCCAAATGTACACTTTCCAAAAAGACTTTTATGAAGAACTCACAGAGGGTAAGCATTCATGTGGTGGTCAGAAAAAGTGATACAACACCATTCTCAAGGTCTCTCTTAAGAAATTTGGAATTTATTATGTGACATGGGAGATATTAGCACAGGACTACTCAGCACAGCGTGCCCTCATCAGAGAAGGTTCTGTGTTTTATGAGCAAAGAAGAATTGCAATAGCTCAAAAGAAATGCAAGTTGCACAAATTTAGAGAATCCACCTCAAATGTTCACATGGACTATTTGTGCTCGACCTGTCACTCTGAGCTCCTATTGGTCTGATTAGCTGCAGTCGGACACACTGTAACTTGATTCTACAAGCATGGTAATGTCATTTTGGTCCTCTTTGAGAATGATGGACAATAACCAACCAGCATTTCTAGAACTATATAAAATAATACTATTGATAATGACAGTTCTGGTTTCATTCCCTTCTTTCCCCTATTCCTTGAAAGTATTCTAATTTATTTCCATCATATATAATACTGGGTCCTGGCTTTGGATAGATGCTATTTACCACATTAAAGGAATTCTATTTATTCCGAAGGGCTTTTTAGTGTTGTTGTTGTTGGGTTTTTTTTTTTTAACAGAAATGAGTACTGAAATTTTCAAAAGCTTTTAAAATATACATTGATTCAGCCACATGGTTTTTCTTATTAATATGCTTTTAGTTTTCTTTATCTTTAACCAACCTGATTCCTGGTATAAGTCCAACCTGCTGATACCAAATACTTTAAAAATTATGTTGCTGTAGACTATTTGCTAATCTTTTATTTGCATTTTTGTGTCAATATTTGCTAGAGATGTTGGTTTATACCTTTCTTTCTTGTCTCTGTCTCTTCATGGTTTTGGTAACCAAGAATACATTTGTCTCATAAAAGGAATTTACTAGTGTCTCCTTTTCCTATTTTCAAAAATAGTTTATATAATATTGGAATCAATTGTGTTTTGGGTGTTTGATAGAATGAACTTGTAAATCTATCTTGTCCCATTTTTTTTTCTTGTGAAGTTTGTTTCTAGCTCATTTAATTTTTCCTGAAGTTGCTATTGAATCCTCTGTTCCTCATTCTATAAATCTGGATGTTTTGTTTTGGAAAATAGTCATAAAAATACTCAAAATCTTATAAAAGTGAATGTTGAAAAATATCTTTACGTGTAATTATAAAAAAATACTGTTAAGTCGGGGGAGAAATCAGCAAACACTTAAAAGATTAAAAAAAAAGGAATAGTTACAGATTTCATCTAAATTATCAGTTTTATAAGTGAGCCAAACAGTTTCTAATTTCCTTGATTGATCTTCAGTCATAGTGAATTATCCTTTTTTGTTTTTGCTACTGGAAATTTGATTTTTCTCCCTGGAACCATACTAAGGTTCCCTTCCTCCACCTCTGCCCCATTCCCTCTTTAGGCTATTACAAACTCATATTAGAACAGCATTTTAATCTGAAATACTTGGCTTAATTTGAAGGAGACAGCCTTATTAATCTTTTTTTAACATAAAATTTGAAGTAATACCTTGAATTGAAAAATCTTTTTACTCCATTATTTAAAATTATTATTTTTTTTAGGCAATTGGGGTTAAGTGACTTGCCCAGGGTCACACAGCTAGTAAGTGTTATGTGTCTGAGGCCAGATTTGAACTCAGGTCCTCCTGAATCCAGGGCCGGTGCTCTATCCATTGTGCCACCTAGCTGTCCCCTACACCAAAACTTTTTTATGATAGCAAGGAGCTCAAAACAAAATAGATGTCCATCAGTTGGGGAATAACTAAACAAATTGAGGTAGATGAATGCAATGGAATATTATTGTTGTTCTGTCATTTTTCAGTTGTGTCTGACTCTTCATGATCTCATTTGGGGTTTTCTTAACAAAGACACTGGAGTGGTTTGCCATTTCCTTTTGCAGCTCATTTTACAGATGAAGAAACTGAGGTAAACAGGGTTAAGTGACTTGCCCAGGGTCTGAAGCCAGATTTCCACTCAGGAAGAGGAATCTTCCTGACTCTAGGCCTGGCGCTCTATCCACTGTGCCAAGACACATGACTGAAAAATGACTGAACAACAAAAATTTTACAAGCAAGTTGAATAAGACTGCATAAATTGTACATTTTAGAATGGCTATATTCCTAAAAATGAGTGTAAAAAATAAAAGTTGTCTAGGCCATATACCATTTCCCATTGACTTACTATCTCAGAGATACTCTATCTTCACCTTAGTTTAATTTTGTGCACTCATCAGTGGCCTTTTGCCATGGAGTGTTTTTTCCCAATGCATTCTGGGATTTCATCTGTGGGGCTAATTCCCAGGGTGAAAACTCCTTCCAGAAATGAGACCTATTGGCAGTTTTTCTTATTAGAGAGTTGCCTGCCACACTCCTGGGGTAAATGACTTGCACAGCCATACATCCAGCATATGTCATAGGCAAGACTTTCTGAGTCTAGGTCTTTGTGACTCCAAGGCCAGCCCTCTGTGGACTCCATGGGGCCACCTCAGTCATGTCATTAATGAGCTGCTGACCATTTACTCACATAACTTTTCCCCTCGTGGTATTTTTTTGTGTGGGGTCTCACACCAACAGCTAGCTTACTTCTGATTCCCCAGGACTACTCCCATACCACTGATTTCCAGCTCACTGCTTATAGGCCCCTCTCCACTTTGTTACCACCATCATCTACTGTCTTCTTGGGTCTATTTCCATTTCCACTGATGATTTGAACAGCTGGTTTAGGTTTGTCTTCTCTACTCCATCTTTGGTAATTTCAGTATTGCCATATATGCTCCTTAGCAGCAAGAACCATGATAAAGAAGGGGAAAAGAGGTATCTCCTATAACAACTAGCCCAGCTGCTTGCACAGAGTGCCCTGCACACAGCTCTATAAATGTGGCTTTCATGACAGCTGAGTAGAGCCCTGAATCCTAGCAGAGGGCAATCTGTTTCCCTCAATTTAAGCCTGCGTGGACCACACTATGGCTTCTTTAGCTCCCCTAGGACTCTACAGAAGGGTGAAAACAGAAGACTTTCTGACCTGAAGTGCTCTGCTCCTGAATAGAGGTTCAGAAATGCAGCATCTTCAGGTCACTGACACCCTAATGTTGAGATCACAGATCTGTATCGCTGGGACTCGAACTTGTCAGCTTCACAGCATCCACTGTGAGGAATTTTATGTTGAGACAATGGAATTTCAATTAAACTCAATGAAATGATTTTCTTTTATTGATTTGATTTTATTTCTTTCTCTTTTTCTTTTTTTTTTCTTGGAGACTCTAAAGAATCAGCATTGATTAGTCAATAGGAAACAGAACATCAAATATACAAATCCAACATTGTTAGAAATAATTTGGTATTAATATTACACATCTCATGGAGTCTTCCAGTGACATGATCATCCTTGTGACTCTGCCAGTCATGGAATGCATTTCTTCACCACCAGGGTGGAAAGATCACCCTCTAAATCTAAATCACAATCTCCCAAATCAAAACTGAAATACACAATGTGATATTAAAGTTGCATAGCTGACCACTTGAATTTTCATCATTTATATTTTAAAGTTGTTGCATCCGGTTTGCTGATACAAAATCTCCTGTTTTTAAATCTACTTTAAAGAAAGGATTATATGCTCCAACTCCTCCTGTGCCTGATGATCCTAAAAAAGATACAAACACATCATGAGATTTAACATGTTTAAGATACGTTTTTCTTCCTTTCCCTAGAAATAGTTTTTCATTTTTTCCTCTTACGGATGGAGGGAAGGGGATAGATTTCTCAGCAGTAATTATTACAAAGAGCATATGTAATAAGATTGCATGGGACTAGATATGATTCACGATTCTATGAAAATTTGGATAAGCTTGAGAAGTGTTGCAGAATGCTTCTCCCATGTAGTAGACAAACTGGAGGGGTCAAGGAAGCAGGAAAAGAGGGCTGGGGAGAGGGTTGTCTTTCTTGGAAGCTTGACATGTTGGGATTTTCCCAACACAGGGACACAGACACTTTTTATGTGGAGGGATATAGATGTAACACATAGGTAGCATCTATATGTCGCATAGGTCTGGAAAGCACTTTTACATGTATTATCTCATTTGATTGGATAAAACTCAAGGTGAGGGATCTTGCCTAAATACATCATCTTTAGGCATAAGAATCACACAATTTCTATCATTCCAAGGCAGTACTGACAGAGTGAGTAGCCTTACACTCTCTCTAAGTACCAACTGCCTCAACTGAAATGTGCTTGTGAAGTCTTAGGTCATACACAGAGCCATGGAAGCTAGGGGACCATCTCATCCAGCCCTCTCATTGTACAGATGATGACAGTCTCTGTCTTCCCAAGGCCAGAACAAATATGCAGCAGAGTTAGGAGGAGACCCCAGGGGTCCTCCTCTTTCCACCACAACAAAATACTTCAAGAATCAATCCCATTGTGAATTTCAGTCTCCTCCTCTGCAAAATGAGGGACTGCATTTCTCAAGAGTTCACATTCCAGCCCTAAGATTCTATGATCATAGACATACCTTTTTTCACACCTTATAGAGTTAGTCTTCTTCCTAGCATCAACAGTTAGAATATATTCATTAACTACTTCTTTAAAGAATATTAATGCCAACAAACGGTGACCTTTGCTTATATGTGCATAAAGATATATTCTCTTGGAAAATGGCAGTTAACTGACATGCTTCACAAATGAGAGATTTAGTAGGGATTATTACTAATAGGACCCTGAAACAATGATTTATCCAGAACTGTCACATGTGCCATATGTATATCTAAGTGGTTTCTTAATGAATCAATACTTTTATTTCACTTTAATTATTTTTAATGGCAGAGAAAAATAGAATTACCTCTGTACTGAAATTAAATATGAGAAAAATATCAGTAACAAGAAAAAGTCAAGAAAATAATACATTTACTAAGCAATGTCCTTTTTGTACTTGGACTCTGATATCAGTACCATGTGACTATTTTTGACAAATAATTACTCAGAGATTTCAGGTGTCTTTAGAAAGTCTCAATACTCTTCCCAAGATTAAATAATAGGAAGAAATGGCACATAAAAAAGACTTCCAAGATGCCTGCAGTTTAAAAAAAAACCCCTCCCCATTATGATGGAAAAATAAGGCCATTGTTATGATAATTGATGTACATCACATTAATATAATGGAGTCAGTCAACAAGAATTTATTAAGAATTTACTATATGCCAGAGTCTGTGTTAAATGCTGGGGGTATAAAGAAAGGCAAAAACATGGTCCCTGCCCTCTAGAACATTACAATCCAATGGAGGAGACACAGCAGGCACACGAATAGGTATGCACGAGATACACAGAGAGTAAATGAAAGGCAATCCGAGAAGGGAAGGCTTTGTCACTGGTGGGGAGGGAGGGCAGGGAATCTCAGAAAAGATTTCCTGCAGAAGGTGGGATTTGAGTTGAGTCTTAAAGGAAGCCAGGGAAGCTAAGGCAGAGGTGAGTAGGCTGAGCATACAAATGCCTGGAGAGGAGAGATGGAGGATTGAGTTCAAGGAACTTCAGGCAGGCCAATGTTGCTGGATCACAGATCATTTGGTGGGGAGTAAGTGTCAGTAGATTGATATAACAACACATTGATAGCAGATGGCTCTTCTACATACATTAACTTAGGTTAATTCACTGCACTTCACTCCATCAAAGGTTTATTCAGCGCCTGGGGCATATAAAATAGTAGTAGGAATAAAAAGATACCAAAAGAGACAGTCCTAGTTCTCCAAACATGATAGCGAGTAGTGGAGGTAGCGTGGAAGAGATGGACTGGGGATGAGAGACATACATGAATGAGGATGAAACTTCTTGTTAGCAGCAGCGAGGTGGCGCAGTTGATAGAACACTAGGCAGAGTCAGGAAGACCTGAGCTCAAAGGCAGCCTCAGACACTTATCAGCTGTATGACTTTGGGCAAGTCACTTAACCTTGTTTGCCTCAGTTTCCTCATCTGTAAAATGACCCAGAGTAGGAAATGACAAACCACTCCAGCATCTTTGCAAAAACACCCAAATGGGGTCACAAAGAGTAGAACATGACTGAATACCAGTAAAAACAACTGCATCAAGTGTTATGAGGAATTTGGGGTGGGGGAGGGGGACAGAGCCTGTGGAGTTGGAGGTTTCAGATAAGGCTTCATAAAGGAAGACTCTTCCCCACCTCCCAGAGCTGGGTCTTGAAGAACTATTTCAAGAGATGGAGGTGCCAGAGTGTTGGCCTGCTCGGATCTGCACACAGATGGTGAGACTGTGGAGGAATTCATTTCCATTTGGCTGGAATGTGGTCTATCAAGGGGACCAGTGTGAAACAAAGCTAGAAGGCAGGTCAGATACAGAGTCTGGGGGCTCCCTCAGGGCAGGAACCCCTGAAGGGTCGGCAGTAAAGCAGGCACTGATCAGTCTTGTGCCCAGGACCACGATTCTGGCAGCTGTGTGGGGGCAGAAGGAGAGGGGAGACTCTGAAGATCAGTTAGGAGGCCATTCTAATGGAGAGGGCCTGATAAGTAGAGAGAAGGGAAAGCTCTAGCTTGCACGTACTTGGGTGTGCACATGTTGTCAGGCTCCCTTCCTTCTGAGAGAAGGTAAGCTCCCTGAAGGCAGGTTTTATCTTTTTTTTGGTTTTTGTCTCCCCAGATCCCTTTCCCACTGACTGGCACTTGCTACATGCTCATTGGATTGAACTGAATTAACTCAAGAAAGATTGTGGAGGTGGAAGTGACAAGACTTGAAAGTCACGGAATGAAGAGGGGAACAGGAGCGAGAATACGTGGAAGTAAGGCTCACAGTGAACATCCTTCACTTGTTGTGGATTCTGTGCCTTCCTTGGTTTCTTTTTAATAGTCTGCATCTAGTGTCCCATTATGATTTTCTCTGCTCCTTTTCCAATGGCAAGTATTACTACAGTGATGTTTTAAAGTACTGTTTTTATTTGCTTAGGAAATATTCCATCTAGAAACATAATTCATTTCCTTTTTTTTACACTTGAGTTTTTTTCTCCACAGCAATGAGTTTTAATGCTTCTGCCGAGGCTAACAGAACAGTCATTATTTATTTAGCTAGCATCCTCACACAGCTTTAGACGGAAGAATCCTACTTATTTTAAGAGAAGAATGTTTCCCAGGGCCTCAGGTTATCCACTTGGGACCAACAGGAGGCCACATGACCTGAACACAGGCTGCTATTTCAGAGCAGGAAATCTAAGCCTCTGAAAGCTAGAGTTAGTGGATCCCCTGGGCCCCAAGTCTAAAAGAGAGGAAGGGACTCCCAGCATACAGATCCTGGATAAGCGATTTCTGTCCTGGGGGGTTTAATGTGTTGGTGAATCTTCTGCATTGTTAGCAACTTTGTAAGTGTCAGCACTGAAGCAAAAGCAGTTTGTAACCTTTGGGCTTATCCCTTTTTCCTTTGCCTTAGATTTATTTATGCTTTTGTCTCACAATTCCCTTCATTCCTTTACCATGTTATAAACTCCTTGAGGACAGAGAGTGAATCATATGAATTTTTGAAATCCCTTCCCCTGTGCTTGTTGTATTGAACTTGTTTAGAAGAAGTCTCCACAGCAAGGGATCCTGCATGGATCTGAAGAAACCCTCCACTTAGGATCATATGGATTTAGCCATTCAGTCTGAAGAGGTCTAGGGGTTTTGGGGTGCTGGGACCCCAAGATCGCGTACGGGCCCTGCTGAATGAATTCAACTCAAATCTTCTTCAGCCAGAGGAAAAGTTTATTAGTGATAAATCACATTGACCAGGTGACGCCCGTAAAGACAAGCGGGCATGAGAAGTTCTCAGCCTTTTGAGTGTGAGATTCTCAGCATCTGAATGAGGGCCAAGGTGGATCTTAAATACTAAAGTAACTTTGGGTGGCCAGAGAAGGGGGGTTGGGAAAAGGGTCTAGGTAAGAATTCTAATTGGGGAGGTCAGAGAGATTGAATAGACAATGGGAATAGATAATGGAGGGAACAGGAAGGCAGAAGTTTGAAAGGCATCTGCACAAAATCAAGGGGGGCTAGGACTTTCAAAAGGAGACAAAGGAAGGCCTTTCTGGGGCCTATAGACAAGAGGAAGCCGATTAGGAAATTTGAAGGTTTAAGGGTTTTCTGGGTCTTGTAGACAAACAGGAGCCAGATTTTATTCAGGGCAAGGGTTGAAGGTGCATCTGAATAAGATCTAAAGGTAAGCTAGGGCTTTCAAGGGAGATGAGGGTCTGGGGCCTGTGAGTCAGATTCCCTTTGGGGCAAAGGGCGAAGATCTTGGCTTGGGCCCCGCCCCTACCAAGTCCATCTCCCTGTCTCCCCATTTTATAGATGAGGAGGTTATGGGATTGGCCGAATGTCACATACGTACTGAATGGCAGAGCCAACATTGAACTCAAGACCTCTGATACTAATTCCAGCACTCTGTTCTCTGCTTCCTCTCTACTCATTTCAACCTAGTTTTGCCTTGTTTTTCATAGAATCAAAGAATCATAGTGTTTTAGAGTTAGAAAGTAACCTAAAGCCCAGCTAGCCCACTTCACACCCACAAAAGAATCCCCTTCCACAAAACATCTGTTCTATGGCCCTCCAGTGAGGAAAGAACCCACAACTCCTGGCAGCAGCCCACCTCACTCTGGGACAGCTTTCATTGTAAG